ACCAAGAGGCCTGGCTTGGTCCTTTCCCCGCAGTGTGAAGACCCAAGTGATCTGGTACCAGGGAGCCTGCAGTCTACACGGCAACAAGCTGCTGGGGCTGCCCCCACAATGCTTCAACCCAGTCCCCATAAAGTCACCTCGTGGCATTATGTCACCTTATCCCTTTTCTTTTCCTGAAAGCCATCCAACAGCAACAATCTTTGTTGAAACTGGAGACCAAACTTTAAATTACTTGGAAGAACTGTCCAAAGCAGTCGAAATAGAGCAGGAGAATGAACAGGGGAGACTGTGAGGAGGTGAGAGGCTGCAGACCTCCAAGAAAGCCAGCCAACGTAATTCTGAAAGTGAGGGACACCCCCTGACGTGCAAAACTGGAGTAGCTTGTTTTTTGCAGTGGGAAGGTAGGAGTTATCAGCTAGTATGAGGATGCTTTCCAGATGGAGTTTGCTTTTAAGAAGCCAGGGGGTGGAGCTAAGTGAGGGATCACCCAAGCCAGTGGTATTTGCAGTCTTCCCCGAGAAGCTGTGAAGACGGAATCTGTATGGCAAAAGTAAAACAAAAAATGAAATAAAAACCAGCTTCTTATCTCCACTAGCTTGGGAGCAATGCAATGCAGGAGACCCGGGTTTGATTCCTGGGTCAGGAAGATCCGCTGAAGCAGGAAATGGCAACCCACTCCAGCATTCTTGCCTGAAAAATGCCATGGACAGAGGAGCCTGGCTGGTTACAGTCCATGGAGTCACAAAAGTCAGACACGACTGAGCAACTAAACCATCACCATCAATAAAAGTTAAACAAACTTCTGTGTAATACCTTGTATCATTTTTTTAAAAATCATTGTGCTCAGGACATAGTGGTGAAGCAATCAAGCATGCTCCGCATCTTTGCAGAGTTTACAGTCTGCTCAGGGAGCCACAAGTTGGTCAAATAATTCCACAAATTTCAAATGTGACATGGTGAGTCAGAGCTTGGACTTTGGAGGTAGACAAACCCAGGATCTAGGCCTTGCTCGCCCATTTAACCTCTCAGAGAGTCATTGCTCACCCACCAAATGGACAAGTACAATAGCCCTACCTCACAGGGCTGTTGTAAGGCATGCAAGACACTTAGCACAGTGCCCGGCATACAGTGGGTGCGCACTAGATGTTGTGTTTGCTATTACTGTTTGTACAACTGACCGTAGATGCAATAAGAGCGGTAGGAGCACAGTGAAGGGAAGACTGCATTTGTAAGAACTTAAAATGGAACGGGGCCAGGGAGGTCTCATTTAGATGGTGGGTCTTGACAGCTTCCTTGGGGAAAAGCTAAAGGGGACAAAAAGAATATTCATCTCCACGAATTTACCAAAGCCTTGGGAATGTTTCAGATTCTCCTGGTACATGGTACCGGTGTTTTAGCAAAGCTTAGGGTCCAGGAGACCCCCGCCAACATGACATATGAACCACATGATAAAGCAGAGGCCCCTCACACACCCCATTCTGCCTCTCCGTCAGCAGGTGCAAGCAGCCTGGCAGGAGCTGATGAAATGTTTACTGAAAAGATTAGCTTGTCAGTGGAGCCGGACAGATGGTTATTGATCCTTTGCTCATCCATCATTCCAATCCCATCTGAGACTAGGTGTGGAAGCAATTCTGTCTGACCCAGAGCTCAGTAAGACTCAGGCCCCAGGCACAGGGCAACAGGAAGCATGGGCAATGTGAGATGGCCTCTCGGATCTGTGATGTGATCGGGGTGATCTCTGAGTCGCTGGAAGACCTCTGTTCTGCTCCCTTGGATTATTGAGCTCTGGGATCATGAAAAAGGTATGGTAAGTCTCCTGCAGGTGTTTACATCCTGCCATAATTATTTTGTGACCTCAGACTCTGTGAGACTCAATTATTCTCATCTGTGAAATGGGGGCAGTAATGCCTACCTCATGGAAGTGTTTTCATGTCTTAAATCAGGAAACAGGTATCAAAGTTCTAAGATTGTTGCAGGGATGTTTGATTTTTAAGAAGAGAAAATGGAGGCCGAGGTGAGAACACTTGTCCTAGTCCATAGATTTTTCCAGTGTGTGGTCTTGAAGAATCTGGCATTGTTCTAAAGAGCTTGACCCTTGACCTGGGGGCACCGCTGAGCCACTGAAGGGTGCGACTGGATAAAATACAGGTTTAGCAAGATCACCCTGGTAGCAGGGAGGTGAGACTGGAATTTGTCGCAGCTCAAGTAACGGGAGCGGGGGTACAGAGGCCCCCGGAGAGTGAATATATAGGGTTTGATGATTAATTGATTGACTGGGCAGGAGAGGTGGGGGAGGGCTGACTCCCCTGTGCAGGGGGGCACTTTCAATGACACAGGAAGCCCTCGGGGAGAAGCAGACAAAGGAAAGACAGCGAGCTCAGTTTGAACATGGCGAGTGTGAGATGCTTCTAAAAGTCCCAAGTGAGATGCCTGCCAGGTGGCTGGAGATGATCCTGATCCTCAGGAGTCAGATCTGGATGCGTATGGTCTGAGAGTCGCTGCCGTCCTCGTCAGCACCACCTCCACCATCATCATCACCGACGTCATCACTGAGTTGGCAGCGGAAGCCACCCTGGTGGATGGGGCTGGCCGCGGAGGGTTTGAGGAAGGGGCAGATGGAAGAAGACACCTGGAAGGTGCAAGGTGGTTCCATGGGAGCCAAGGACCGTGAGGTTCGGAAGGAGGAAGGGAGTCATCAGCAGTAGAAAATTCTAAAAAATGGGGTCATATTTAAAAAAAGAAACTAAAAGCACATCTGCTGATTTAGTAACAAGGAGCTAGTTTTGAATTTAGGGAAGAACATTTGTGTAGGGCAATTGAGAGTGGGTGGGAGGTTGAGAATATACAATGAGGAGGGAACGGGGAGGGAGCTGGAGGAGGGTGCAGGGGAAGCAGGGCTGGTGTGTGTGTGTGTGTGTGTGTGTGAGTGTGTGTGAGTGTGTGTGTGAGTGTGTGTGGTGTGTGTGTGTGTGGTGTGTGTGTGTGTGTGTGGTGTGAGAGTGTGAGTGTGTGTGAGTGTGAGTGTGTGTGAGTGTGAGTGTGTGAGTGTGTGTGTGGTGTGAGTGTGTGTGTCTGTGGTGTGTGTGTGCTGTGTGTGAGTGTGTGTGTGGTGTGTGTGTGTGAGTGTGAGTGTGTGTGAGTGTGAGTGTGTGAGTGAGTGTGTGTGTGGTGTGAGTGTGTGTGTGAGTGTGAGCGAGTGTGAGTGTGTGTGGTGTGTGTGTGTGTGAGTGTGTGTGTGGTGTGAGTGTGTGGTGTGTGTGTGGTGTGTGTGTGAGTGTGTGTGTGTGTGTGTGGTGTGAGTGTGTGATGTGTGTGTGGTGTGTGTGTCTGTGGTGTGTGTGTGGTGTGTGTGAGTGTGTGTGTGGTGTGTGTGTGTGAGTGTGTGTGAGTGTGAGTGTGTGTGAGTGTGAGTGTGTGAGTGAGTGTGTGTGTGGTGTGAGTGTGTGTGTGTGTGTGGTGTGTGTGTCTGTGGTGTGTGTGTGCTGTGTGTGAGTGTGTGTGTGGTGTGTGTGTGTGAGTGTGAGTGTGTGTGAGTGTGAGTGTGTGAGTGAGTGTGTGTGTGGTGTGAGTGTGTGTGTGAGTGTGAGCGAGTGTGAGTGTGTGTGGTGTGTGTGTGTGAGTGTGTGAGTGAGTGTGTGTGTGTGTGGTGTGTGTGGTGTGTGTGTGGTGTGTGTGTGAGTGTGTGTGTGGTGTGTGTGGTGTGTGTGTGTGAGTGTGTGTGGTGTGTGTGTGAGTGTGTGTGTGGTGTGTGTGGTGTGTGTGTGTGTGTGTGTGGTGTGTGTGGTGTGTGTGGTGTGTGTGTGTCTGTGGTGTGTGTGTGGTGTGTGTGTGTGTGTCTGTGGTGTGTGTGTGTGGTGTGTGTGTGTGGTGTGTGTGTGAGTGTGTGTGTGAGTGTGTGTGGTGTGTGTGTGTGGTGTGTGTGTGTGGTGTGTGTGTGGTGTGTGTGTGTGGTGTGTGTGTCTGTGGTGTGTGTGGTGTGTGTGTGTGGTGTGTGTGTGTGTGTGTGTGGTGTGAGTGTGTGTGGTGTGTGTGGTGTGTGTGTGTGTGTGAGTGTGTGTGGTGTGTGTGTGGTGTGTGTGTGTGAGTGTGTGTGGTGTGTGTGTGGTGTGTGTGTGAGTGTGTGTGGTGTGTGTGTGGTGTGTGTGTGTGAGTGTGTGTGTGAGTGTGTGTGGTGTGTGTGGTGTGTGTGTGTGGTGTGTGTGTGGTGTGTGAGTGTGTGGTGTGTGTGTTTGTGAGTGTGGTGTGTGTGTGTGGTGAGTGTGTGTGTGTGTGGTGTGAGTGTGTGAATGTGTGAGTGTGAGTGTGTGGTGCGTGTGTGGTGTGTGTGAGTGTGTGTGTGTGTGTGGTGTGTGTGTGGTGTGTGGTGTGTGTGTGTGGTGTGTGTGTGTGGTGTGTGTGTGTGGTGTGTGTGTGTGTGTGAGTGTGTGTGTGAGTGTGTGTGGTTTGTGTGTGTGTGGTGTGAGTGAGTGTGTGTGGTGTGAGTGTGTGTGTGAGTGTGTGTGGTGTGAGTGTGAGTGTGTGGTGTGTGTGTGTGTGAGTGTGTGTGTGGTGTGTGTGTGTGTGTGTGGTGTGTGAGTGGTGTGTGTGTGTGAGTGTGTGTGTGTGGTGTGTGTGTGTGTGTGTGGTGTGTGTGTGTGTGTGGTGTGAGTGAGTGTGTGTGGTGTGAGTGTGTGTGTGAGTGTGTGTGGTGTGAGTGTGAGTGTGTGGTGTGTGTGTGGTGTGTGAGTGTGTGTGTGTGTGGTGTGTGTGTGTGTGTGGTGTGAGTGTGTGTGTGTGGTTTGTGTGTGTGTGTGTGGTGTGTGTGTGTGAGTGTGTGGTGTGTGTGTGTGTGTGTGTGGTGTGTGTGTGTGAGTGTGTGGTGTGTGTGTGAGAGTGTGTGAGTCGCTTGAAGAGGCTTCCGGTGTGGCAGGAGAATCCCGGGGAGAGTGAGGTGGTCAAGACCAAGAGGCCAGAGAGCAGCAAGGTCCCAGAGGGGGCGCAGACCGGGGCCCGGGTCGGGGATGCGGGACCGCTGCAGCGTCAGGGCAGCCCCGCAGGAGGGCAGGTGAGCCCCGGGAAGGAAGGGAGCGAAGCAGGGTCCCCGCCTCCACGGTGTCCACCTTCTTGAGGAGGGAGGGGCAGTCATCTGATGAGAACAGGCCGGGACGGGCGAGGGGCTTGAGGAAGGTCAGGAGGCTGTGTAACAGGCGCCGTGGAGAATGGAAGAGAGGTGACCTCGGGCACCGCCAGGCCAGGCCAGGAGGATGCCCAGCTGGGACGGAGACCGCGAGCCTGTGCAGGAAGAGAAGAGCTGGGTTTCATGAAGCCAAGGCTTCAAATGGACAGGACGCGGGAACAGGAGAGAGAAAGTGTCTGCAGGACCCTCGGGTTGCTGGGTTGGGGGATGCTGGGTGCCCTTCAACCCGACTGCATCCCTGGGGAGGGGCCAGGGAGTGAGCCTGGACGGGCGTTGGCTTTTCAGCAGGCTGCCCTGAGACACTGCCTGCGCCCCGACTTCGTCACCCCCCACCTAACTTTTCGCCCTCTGTCAACCAGCATGAAAGGTAACAGACTTGAGCGTCCGGCACCTGGGGGCCGGAGGATGCGGTCTCCAGCGCCCGGGGCGGCACACAGAGGGCCCCATCAAGGAGGCGCTGCCGTCTGCATGTGCGACCCCGGGCAGTCCTCTCCTCCGTTTTTCTCTGCCTCAGTTTCCCCAGCTAGACACTAAGAAGGTTGTTTCCAGGAACCTGTAAGGACCCAGTCAATGTGGACATCCTTTAAAAAGAAGTCTCACTTATGAGTGTTTTTCATAATCCGAGGTACTGGAGGGGAGGGAGTGCGGAGACCAGAGCCGAGCTCAGAAACACAAACCCGTGTTAACAGCGAACCAGCCAAACAAGGTCCGAATGTGCAGCGTTTCCTGCTAATTAATGGCTTCTTTTGAGGTTATTAAGTTAGACTGGGTAGGTGTGTGGCCTTTCTTTCTACTGCCCTTCCAATTAACAGGCACTTTGCTTGGTAAATGTTAATTTAGAGTAATTGGGTGTGCAGATGAGGGCGTGCAGGGGGGGAACAATGCTCCCTTCACTGTAGGTTAATTGCTACTAAGTGTTGTTCCTGCAGCCCTGGTCCCAGTGATTAACGGCCTGGGAGTCCAGGCTGAAATCCCTGGGGGTCTGCAGAGGCTTAACCCCTCACTGACCGAGATGAGAGCAGATCTTTCTGGGTTTGTAAACAAGGCCTGTGCCATGCTTCTCACCTGTGAGGAACTGACCCTCAGATCTCTTGCCACTGATCTGTTCTGAAAGTCAGCGCTCTGTGAAGACGTGTTGGCAAATTGCAGCAATGAGGACGGACCTAGAGATTATCACGCTACAGGAAGGAAGTCAGACAGAGAGAAATACGTGATATCACTTGCATACAGAAGCTACAAACATGAACTTATTTACAAAGCAGAAGCAAATTCACAGACAACAAACATGGTTACCAAAGGTGAAGGGAGGGGTTATTAGCTATAATTGCCATGCTGTACATTAGGTCCCCAAAGTTGTCAATCGTAATGGAAGGTTATATCCTTTGTCCAGTATTTCCCCACAGCCCAGCCCCTTAACAACCATTCTATTGTGTTTCCATTGGTTTGGCTTTTTTAGATCACATTTACATGGTGTATATATGAAATACATATTATACAGAACTTGTCTTTTTCTGCCTGCCTTATTTCACTTAGCATAATGCCCTCAAGCTTCATCCAAGCTGTTGCAAATAGCAACAGGATTTTCTTCTGTTCTCATGGTTGAGTAATACTCCATTGTATTAGTGTGTGTGTGTGTGTGTGTACATGAATAGCTTGAAAAGGCAAAGAGATAGGACACTGAAAGATGAACTCCCCAGGTCGGTAGGTGCCCTATATGCTACTGGAGAAATAACTCCAGAAAGAATGAATATTCAGAGCCAAAACAAAAACAACACCCAGTTGTAGATGTGACTGGTGATGGAAGTAAAGTCCAGTGCTGTAAAGAGGATTATCGCATAGGAACCTGGAATGTTAGAGCCATGAACCAAGGCAAACTGGAAGTGGTCAAACAGGAGATGGCAAGAGTGAACATTGACATTTTAGGAGTCAGTGAACTAAAATGGACTGGAATGGGTGAATTTAACTCAGATGACCATTATATCTACCACTGTGGCCAGGAATCCCTTAGAAGAAATGGAGTAGCCACCATAGTAAACAAGAGAGTCTGAAATGCAGGACTTGGATGCATCTCAAAAACGACAGGATGATCTCTGTTCGTTTCCAAGGCAAACCATTCAATATCATAGTAATCCAAGCCTATGCCCCAACCAGTAATGCAGAAGAAGCTGAAGTTGAACGGTTCTATGAAGACCTACAAGATTTTCTAGAACTAACACCCATAAAGGGTGTCTTTTTCATTATAGGGGACTGGAATACAAAAGAAGGAAGTCAAGAGATATCTGGAGTAACAGGCAAATTTTGCCTTGGAGTACAAAATGAAGTAGGTCAAAGGCTAACAGGGTTTTGCCAAGAGAATGCACTGGTCATAGCAAACACCCTCTTCCAACAACACAAGAGAAGACTCTACACATGGACATCACCAGATGGTCAATACAGAAAATCAGATTGATTATATTCTTTGCAGCCAAAGATGGAGAAGCTCTATACAGTCAGCAAAAACAAGACCAGGAGCTGACTGTGGCTCAGATCATGAACTCCTTATTTGCAAAATTCAGACTTAAATTGAAGAAAGTAGGGAAAACCACTAAACCATTCAGGTATGACCTTAATCAAAACCCTTATGATTATACAGTGGAAGGGACAAATAGATTCAATGGATTAGATCTGATAGAGAACCTGAAGAACTATGGATGGAGGTTTGTCACATTGTATAGGAAGCAATGATCAAGACCATCCCCAAGAAAAAGAAATGCAAAAAGGCAAAATGGTTCTCTGAGGAGGCCTGACAAATAGCTGAAAAAAGAAGAGAAGCTAAAGGCAAAGGAGAAAAGGAAAGATATACCCATTTGAATGCAGAGTTCCAGAGAAGAGCAAGGAAAGATAAGAAAGCCTTTCTCAGCAATCAATGCAAAGAAATAGAGAAAAATAATACAATGGGAAAGACTAGAGATCTCTTCAAGAAAATTAGAGATACCAAGGGAACATTTCATGCAAAGATGGGTGCAATAAAGGACAGAAATGGTAGGGACCAACAGAAGCAGAAGATATTAAGAAGAGGTGACAAGAATACAGAGAAGAACTGTACAAAAAAGATCTTCACGACCCAGATAACCATGATGGTGTGATCACTCACCTAGAGTCAAACATCCTGGAATGCAAAGTCAAGTAGGCCTTAGGAAGCATCACTATGAACAAAGCTAGTGGAGGTGATGGAATTCCAGTTAAGCTATTTGAAACCCTGAAAGATGATGCTGTGAAAGTGCTGCACTCAATATGCCAGTAAATTTGGAAAACTCAGCAGTGGCCACAGGACTGGAAAAGGTCAGTTTTCATTCCAATCCCAAAGAAAGGCAATGCCAAAGAATTTTCAAACTACTGCACATTTGCACTCCTCTCACACACCAGCAAAGTAATACTCAAAATTCTCCAAGCTAGGCTTAAGTGTACATGAACTGTGAACTACCAGATATTCAAGCTGGATTTAGAAAAGACAGAGGAGCCAGAGATTAAATTGCCAACATCTCTTGGATCATGAAAAAAGCAAGAGAGTTCCAGTAAAACATCTACTTCTGCTTTATTGACGACGCCAAAGCCTTTGACTGTGTGGAATACAACAAACTGTGGAAAATTCTGAAAGAGATGGGAATACCAGACTATCTGACCTGCCTCCTGAGAAATCTGTATGCAGGTCAAGAAGCAACAGTTAGAACTGGACATGAAACAGCAGACTGGTTCCAAATCGGGAAAAGGGTACATCAAGCCTGTATATTGTCACCCTGCTTATTTAACTTTTATTTATTTTTTTTAAACTTCTATGCAGAGTACATCATGCAAAATGCCGGGCTGGATGAAGCACTAGCTGGAATCAAGATTGCTGGGAGAAATATCAATAACCTCAGATATGTAGATGACACCACCCTTATGGCAGAAAGGGAAGAAAAACTAAAGAGCCTCTTGATGAAAGTGAAAGAAGAGAGTGAAAAAGTTGGCTTAAAACAACATTCATAAAACTAAGATCATGGTGTCTGGTCCTGTCACTTCATGGCAAATAGATGGGGAAACAATGGAAACAGAGACTTTATCTTTGGGGTCTCCAAAATCACTGCAGATGGTGACTGCAGTCATGAAATTAGAAGATGCTTTCTCCTTGGAAGAAAAGCTATGACCAACCTAGACAGCATATTAAAAAGCAGAGACATTACTTTTCCAACAAAGGTCCATCTATTCAAAGCTATGGTTTTTCCAGTAGTCATGTATAGATGTGAGAGTTGGACTATAAAGAAAGCTGAATGCTGAAGAATTGATGCTTTTGAACTGTGGTGTTGGAGAAGACTCTTGAGAATCCCTTGGACTGCAAAGGGATCCAACCAGTCCATCCTAAAGGAATCAGTCCTGAATATTCATTGGAAGGACTGATGCTGAAGCTGAAGCTCCAATACTTTGGCCACCTGATGCGAAGAACTGACTCACTGAAAAAGACCCTGATGCTGGGAAAGATTGGGGTCAGGAGGAGAAGGGGATGACAGAGGATGAGATGGTTGGATGGCATCACCAACTCGATGGACATGAGTTTGAGTAAGCTCCAAGAATTGGTGATAGACAGGAAAGCCGGGCATTCTTCAGTCCATGGGGTCACAAAGAGTCAGACACGACTGAGGAACTGAACTGAACTGATGTGGCCACTTGATGCGAAGAGCTGACTCATTGGAAAAGACCCTGATGCTGGGAGGGATTGAGGGCAGGAGGAGAAGGGGACGACAGAGGATGAAATGGCTGGATGGCATCACTGACTCAATGGACATAAGTTTGGGTAAACTCCAGGCATTGGTGATGGACAGGGAGGCCTGGCGTGCTGCAGTTCACGGGGT